AAAAAAAAAGCTGTTCTGGCCAAAGAACTATATCCTAAACATTCTAATCCTTAATTGTAACATACAAGCTTCCCTAATGTGGTAAGCCCAGTTGATTGGAGAAACAAATCTAGTGACACTCATACGTGTAAGAAAGAGTTTTATATTAAAAAGAAAATGTATATTAGGAAAACAGTCCAGTCCAACTCAAGTCCATAAGCTCCATACTAGTCCTTAAGTCTGATACTAAAAAAAAAAAAGGCCAATACTAGTCCATAGGTCCCTCTTCAGACTTATGGAGCCACGCGTAGTGATGCAGATGCAAGAAGATCACAGGCCAGTGGGTGCAGAGTTGTATGGATCCAATGGCAGTGGCTGCATCACAGGTCTCCTCATGGCTCATCAGCAGAAAAGTGAAGAAGAGAGAGAGGGGAGTTCCCAGGATCCTCCTTATAAGAAGGCCACGCCCATAGGGAGGTACCCTCAGGCTGGACTCCACCCATATCTTCTTACGGGTGCCATGTTGGCAGCAAAAAAACTAACTCACACTTAATAAACCTCATAATCCTTAGTATTGTCTGTGAGTTTTGTGTAACCATTGCTATGAATTCTCGAACCTACCACAAAGGCTAGAGAGTGCTGTTGGACAGCTTGCTGGTATATCCAAATTGGCTAGAAGGTTAAAAGGGTAGGATAAACCTGGAGCAGCTGATGTTTATGATGGTTTTCCGACTCTCCCTCCTTTTATAGCCAGAGGCAGTCAGAGAGAGAGAGAGAGACTCCACCCACCACCACCTTATTTCTATACTAGGTCTGTCTTCTAAGCCTAATTTGTACATAACTTGAAACAGTTAAATACAGTGATATTTGACATTAGTTAGCCAAATGTTTGTATAGCGAACCTTTCTCCGTATAAAAAATATCAAGCAAATGCTTCCTGGTACTCAAAAACTTCTTTAACAGAAGTAATAATAGTCATAATCCACCATTTGTCTGTCAGTTTGTTGTACCGTGGTGGCTTGAGTGTTGCTGTGATGCTAGAGGTGTTATGCACCCCTACACACAAACACAATGTATTTCAAATACCAACAGGGTCACCCATGCTGGACAGGTTTCAGTGGAGCTTCCAGACTGAGAACAGACTATAAAGAAAGAATAGGCTGTCTACTCCTGGGGGTGCAGGGGGCACTGAAAACCTTATGAATAGCAGCAGAATATTGTCTAGAAAGCTGAGCCCTCGGGCTGAAAGGGACTCAAAATACAACTGATAAAGTGCTGCCTCCTCAACTCACTCACTGCCATCTAATTATTGCTGACTCACAGCCACCCCCTGGGGGTTCCAGACACTGTAACTGTTTGCCAAGAGGAGAAAGCCAGTCTTTCTCCAGAAAAGCTGCTAGTGGTTTCCAACTGCTGACTATGTGGATCACCGCCCAACACATAACCATCACACCACCAGGGCTTCCTCCTCAAAGTAGACCTTAGTGACAGAGGTGGGGCAAAGCATTTGAGATGTGGCAAGACTTTCAAACAGTTGTGGCAAGACTTTCAAACAGTTTGCTGACGTGGCAAGACTTTCAAACAGTTGCGAAGATCCATTAATATTTGAAAAATGGATTGTATGAAGTTTGAATCTAGGGAAATAAGGTGTCAAAAATTAAATGGAACACAAAGATTGATAATCCTAGGTGTAGTAGTCTGGGTACTGTAGAGAAACAAATGTATAACTCATCTATAAGAGAGAGTTTTATATATAGGTTAAGTGTGCATCAAGAAAATATCCTAACCCAGTGCTGCCCAAATCCACAAGTCCAACGTTAGCCCATATGTCCAATACCAATCCACAAAGTCCTCCATCTCACAAAACAGAGGCAATGATGCCCACTGCAGGAGGAAAGCTGAGTCAGTGAACGAACAAGCATCTCAGCACTGGCAGGG